CAGATTTCAGGATCACTTTAAGTCAACGTGGAATTCTGCACAATACTGAATTAAGTTCTTAACCCTGATTGTGCATTGTAATTACCTAGGGGACTTTCAAAATAGAAAAGGATATGTGGACCTCACCTCCCAAGGTCCCATTTTCATTGACCTGAGACAGGGCCAGAATTGATCTGCAGCCAGGATGAGAACCACTGACTCAGAGTTAACTGGATTTAGAGCTGAATGGACCCTGGGAGCCCTTGGAACTTCTTGACTACTTTTACAAGTTTCCCTATGTAAAACTATGCAAAACAGAAGCCCTAATTTATCTGCCCTAACTTACCTTGGTTCCAAAAATGACTCCTAAAATAATCTCAGAGAACCATATCACTTCAGATGGGTCTCTATCGCTGCAACATGACAGCAATCAAGGTGGAAATAAATTTCTAGTAGAAATTTCTAATAGAATTCTGGTACACACTATAACAAAATAGACATCAAAATATACATCCTAATGAAAAACACAAGAACAGATTTTTTAAAATATACTTTCTATGCTTTAGAATGCCTGAAAATATAAGTCTAAATGCTCTCTCTATTAAGTTATACATTTAAGTATAACTTATCTTTATCTTTAAATTAGTGGTCCCAGTCACAAATTTAGGAAGCTTATGAAGAGAATGTACTATGGTTAATTTTATGTGTCAACTTGACAAGGCCGAAGATATAATAGTGGCATTTCATCCTAATAAACTGGTTATGATTTTACTTCTCATCTGGGTTAGGGCTCAAAGATACCTAAATTTAGAGACAATTTGACAACTATTTAGACTATTGCTTTGGAATGAATGTTTAGCCCCTCCACTTCCTGCCAAAAAAAAAAAAAAAAAAAAAAAAGTCTTCTGTTGAAGACTTAATCCCCAATATGACAATATTTGGAGGAGGGAAGAAGGAGGTGGCTTCAGGAAGTAATCAGGTCATATGGGAGCCCTTCTGAAAGGGATGAGTGGCTTTATAAGAAGAGATGCCAGAGGGATGATCTCTCTTGGCCATGTGAGATTACAGACAGAGGATAACTGTTAGAAGCCAGAAAGCAAGCCCTATGAACTCCCTGTTCAGCTGGTAAAGACTTGAATACACAACTAGAAGCTTTACTGGTGGCTTCATCTTACAAGCCCAGCCTCCAGAAGATATCAGAAATAAGTATCTAGTTTAAGTCACCCCAGACCATGGTACTCTGTTATAGCAGTCCATACTGACTAAGGCAACAATGTAAACCATATGGTCTTATCAACAAAGAAAAGCAATGTTGATTTTTTTGAAAGGTTATATATGTCATATCCACTATCAGCAAGAAATAACTACTATTCAGCCTTCTAGTTCAATGAGATCCAGCAATTCTCCTAGATATTTCTGTATGATGCAGCTGAAAGGGGTCCTAATTATAGGATTTTAACTTCACTATATTCTGAATAAAATTGGCTCATTGCTTTAAGAAGCTTATTCAAACACACATCATGTTTACAAGTGTCTCCCCTCCCCAAAACACTGTAATTTTAGTTTCTGAGTACTTCCTATTCAGATGATAAAAATTTTAGAACCTTTCCTTAGTTATTTCACTATGGAATATGATTTTCCAGAGGGTAAAAAAAAGCTTTCTTACTTATCATTATATTCTTAAGTTCACTAATGCTCAGAACAAGAATAAAGACAAGAATATACACAAGTCAATTTTCATCATAACCTAAATAATAATTAAAAGCAGCATGACTAGCTAGTCTAATAACAGGCTCTCCCTTATGAGAAAATGTATATACACAAAACAAACCTTCTATAGTAAGTATAGTGAATACTTGTATTATCTCAGTAATTTCCCCATAAACATACCAGCTGACAGACCTGGGAAAGTTGGCCTATTTGTAGACTTTCCAGCATGGGATCTGTTTTCAGTTTATTCCGTTGTGCACTGGATTTCTACCATCCACAAATAAAGGATCCTAAATAATACACAAGAATTTTTCTCCTAACTGAGGTCTTATATAAATTATTTATCTAACTGTTTGACTTAGCTCAACTGAGAATACAATTCAAATTCTGAAGTCAGGCTTCATTTTCAGAATAAACTAACTCTATCCTATATTGAAACTATAATATATGTTGAGAGCATATTAGGCAAAATCACAGCACTGAATATTTGATGGCTTTTTCATTCTAACATCAAAGAATTCTATTCATGAATAAACAGGTACACTTGGTAATAAAAATTTAGAAGAGGATGATGGCTTCATCATAGTGTAATGAAATTCCACTGTAGTCAATAAGTGAGAGTATGGAGTCAAACTCTAAGCTATCTCAATATTTAAAATTCTACTTTACCTTCCATTCCTTTGGATAAAGTGAAAAATATCCTAACCCTAGGAACTTATGGAATTTATTTTTGGTATTTAGGCTATCAGGTACAGACCAGGTAATTAGACTAGGAACATTTACATTTATTCAAATATAAATAATATGTAAATCAGTTCTTAATGCAAACTTCATTTTAAGAGTATAACCAAATGTTCCAAGGTTATGATTAAACAACTTTAGGAATTAGATCAAAAACCCTCAACAGATATTCTGTGTTACTTCTGACAGGCAGGTAGGTTTCGTAGAGGGTTTTTGTCTGCTTTTGCTGTTGTAGGATACAAGAGTTTTCTCTTCTGTTGTATCACACAAGAGTTTCTCCGTTTTTTGTCATTGTTTTGCCCTCTTCACATGAACTAAACACCCAGAAAGACATTAGCATTGCAGGGCCTCCACAGTGGCGCAGCGGTTGAGCGCTGGGTTGCGAAACTGCCCGCAGCCTCTAGAGCACCGGTTCGATCCCCGGCTGCTGCCCGGCCACTGGAGGGTCCCACATGGCGCGCAGACCTCTCCTGCCGCCGGCTGCTCCCCTCAGCAGTGTGCTTCGGTCCTTCTGCCTGCTCTGCTCCCCGCTCTGGCTCTGGTGAATTCTCTCACCCTCCCGCGCTTCTGACTGTACCCAGTGCTTGTATAAATAAATAAATAAATAAATAAATAAATAAATAAATAAATAAATAAATCTTAAAAAAAAAAAAAGACATTAGCATTGCAGTGTGGGCATTTCAGCTAGAGAAAACCAATTCCTAGTAGTTCTGTGAGGGTGAGGAGCTTTCCAATTTTGCCAAATTGATTCCACCTTTCTCCTATCTGACCGGCATGGAAAAAAAAATGTACAGTAATATAATGGAGCTCTTAAAATAGAAAATAAGAAAATTTAATTTTGAAAAGAAAAAAAATTAGGTAGATTATGACCCAAGAAACATTTTTCTCCTTTGAACCTTAAGAACATGAGCAGAGGTGATATCAAGTTCAAATAAATCTAACAGCCGTTCAAACTGGTAAGGCCCAATGAATCAAAGCAAACACAGTGTAACTGGAAACTGTGAATTAAAGTAACTATATGAATAACGTACTCTCATATACTATTGAATTCGGTTTCAAATGAGTAGAAACAGTGTTAATGAGAGCTATGTGGAAGTGAATGAGTCTGTTCTAATAGTTTCAAAGGAGACTATTAGTCATTCCAACAGAATTAACTGCTAAAGCCAAATTAATTATTCTTGGTAATCACAGATCTAAATGTATATTTTCCACAATGGGAGTGTGGAGAAACTAAGATAAATTGCTGCCTTCCATCCTCACTTGGATTTCACAATCCTTGGGTAAAGAGTAGAAAACTAGTGAGCTGGAAACTAAAAATGAAAGTTTAATGAGGCACAAAAATGTCATTTTTAATTAGGGAATAATAAAATAATTTTTCCTGCTTGACTGGAATATATAAAAAAAAAGTGGTCCCTAATCTTTATTATGCTCTATAGTTTATATTCCCCCAGACTAGACTACCAATCATTATCAAGAGATTAAAAACTATTATTATTTATTGACTAATAAAGCATGCAGGAAAACTTGTACAAGGATTCTGCCTTCCCTCTAAACAGTTACAAATCCCATTAACCCTTTGAAACACATCAGATTAGGAGGGTAGAAATTTTACTTACATTGGACTAAAGTTATGAAATTACAGGTTGAAATATGGGCTGGAGGAGTCAATGAAATCTTAAATCACAATCAAAATCCTCACCTACAGTGAACCTAGGTCTTTGTCTTTAGGCTTCCTGCTCAGAACGTGCCCCCTGGTCTAACCATAGCCTATCTACTGGATTCCACCTCTTGGCTGCAAAGAATCTACATACCTTCCCCAAAATAGCTACTCCCCAAGTCAGACATTGCTTATCTCACATTTTAAAGAAAACCATCCATATACACTGGCTTAAATGGATTTTGAGTCTCTCCAAAACAGCCTAACATTGAAGGCAACTGGGATCTGTGCTAATATAGTACAAACAGGAATGCTCTGAGCACAGCACTGACAACACACACTTCTCCCTACAGGCAGCCTGCGCATTGGGCCACTTCTATGAGTCTTTCATCCCAATAAGATTATTAAACAATGGTGATTTCTTCCCCAATATTTAATTTAATTTAACCTAACTTTATCTGATCAGGAAATTTCATTTTGCATTTTTACAGCTACTATTTCAGCTTTTAAGTAACAAAATAACTAAATGGATCTTCACGCAACAACTATTTTTTAGTAGAATTCAGCATCTAAACAAAATGCCAGCAAACCCATCACACAAATATTCAGTTAAATAATTACTAAAAAAGGGCCTCCCTAGTGGCACAAAGGGTTGAGCGCAGTGCTGTGAAGCTGACCGTAGCCTCTACAGAGCGAATACAATCCCCGGCCAGGGAGCAACCCCCATGGTGCAGCAGACCTCTCCTGACTCACCCGTTGCTCCCCTCAGCAGTGTACTTAGGTCCATCTGCCTGTTCTGTTCCCCACTCTGTCTCTGGTGAATCCTCTCACCTCCCATACCTCTGGATTGTACCCCAGTTCTTATAATCATAAATAAATAAATCTCATACTGATAACCATATATATATGTTACCTTGAGAAGGTATGTGGGAATATTGCTGAAATCCACCGGCAATTTCAAAAGGAAACGAGCTGAAAATTCACCAGTCTGTAGAAAGAAAGGTATAATAATAAGATTAAAATCAAAAATAGATTATGAAGTGACAATTATAGGCAAGGCCACAAGTTCAACCTGTTCAAAATGCAGGCATCTTCAATTTGGGTTTCCTAACGTGAAGTGAGAAAAGAAGGTTGGGAGAGTGGGGGAGGATCAAAAGCAGCATTAAATTATTAGTTACTAAAAAGCACAATTAGAATTTAAATCTGCATTTTAAATGTGCAATAAACTTATAACACAGTAGTATTACCTTTTTGTTTTTCAAAAGTATAAAAAGAATACATGAAGGTATGACTTAACCAAACAAAAGCGACAGATCTGTCCTTAGATTCATTTGTTTTTACTAAAGCATTCAGACCACTTCACTAATACTTATAACCCACCAGCTAATGACACTGATCACCGCACTTATAGTGCATCTGGAAGTACACACAGAGATCGAACTTCTACCCAGATAAAGCAGTGGTGCCCCCCCAAGTGAGGATCTAATTTACCCACTAATCTCTTAACATCATTATCATCAACCAATATTTGTTAGTGATTTTCTCTATGAACTGGATTCTATAGTAAAGATGTCCAGGAATTTAGCAATTGAACACATTTAAGTAAGTTGTAAGTAATTGTTTGTTTGTTTGTTTTTTAAGAGAGAAGAAAGTTTCTCTTGTAATTTTTATGATGGAAAAGTCTAAGTAATCACATTTTTTTAAACTATATCATAGTCTAAAAGAGGAGCTTTCCAACTGAGTCATGCAGACACCCAGGGGTCCCAGGGAACCTTTACAAAGACAACAAAGATGGATGCTGAGCAGGTGGAGTCCTAAGTTACCCAGCCTCTCTCATTACAAGCTGCAGCTCAGTTTGGAATTTTGACATTTTGGGTCTCAGTGACATATCGTTACAAAAGAGAGATCTGGGGGTGCTCTAGAACTACTCTGAAGAGAGGATCTCTATCCTTTTCATACTGTGACTACTGAAGAGCTCTCAATATCTCCACTGCCTTCCCTTCTTAAAAAAAATGAGCACCTTGGGCCTCCCTGGTGGCGCAAGGGGTTAAGCACTGCACTGTAAAGCAGTCCACTGCCTCTGCAGCACAAGTTCAATGCCCAGCTGGCCAGGGAGCAACCCACGTGGCACAGCAGACCTCTCCTGTCTCGCCCTTTGCTCTCCTCAGCAGTGTATTTCAGTCAGTCTACCTGTTCTGTTCCCCATTCTGTCTCTGGTGAATCTTCTCTCTCTCTCTCTCTCTCACACACACACACAACACACACATATCTCTGGCCTGTACCCCAGTTCTTGTATGCATAAATAAATAAATCTTTAAAAAAATTCTAGTTGTTACCAGAATTACTGTGGGGAATTTAAAAACAAGAAAATGAGCACCTCAAACTCCCCAAAACATATCTTTAAACATAGCAAGCATTTACATATATTTTTATGGATGGACAGATGAATACACATAAGCACACATGCACACCCCTTGCAGATGATTCCATAAGAGTCATCACTCTTTTCCATGAACACCCTAGCAACTGGCTTCAAGGTCCTGGTTCTAATTTTAAAACATTGACCTGAAACCTTGAAAATGCAAACAGAAATATAAACCTTGAGCTCAAAAGATAAAGACGATAACTACCATCTGCATAGTTGTTTGTTTTACTGCTTACGACATCTTTTAACTTACATCAATCTCTGGTTAAGAACAGAGTGCTTCTTCATTGTCACAAGTCTAACCCTGTGACACAAAAAAGTAAAAAATCAGAGAACTGAATGGACAGAACCAAAGCTAAGGCAAGTCAGAGAGAGGCACAGAGTTACTGTGCCACCATATATGCCAATGGTGAGAAATATGATAAATCCTTAGAGCTAAGCAGCTGTACTCAGTATAGAACACCAATAAATTCAGGCTACACACAACCCAAAAGTTCATTATGGTGAATAGGAGGAGAAAGTTTGTAGATGATCCTAAAAAAACTCTTACCTCCTATTATAGTCCAAGATTACCAGGAAGGGGTGGTTTTGGTATCATGTTAACCTCTTCAAGGACTCCAGAATCAACATACCCTGTTAAATGTGATTCTTTGGACCTAAGTATAAGGGCTCCTACCTTAAAGTGGGTAAACATAGGGAAAACATACAAACAATAGAGTTACACAGGAGTTTACAAGAGGGGGACATAGCTTTGGGGCATGGAAAGAACAGAAAAGATCCATGAATGCTGCATATAGTGCCACAGAGGAAGGAATACTCATCAAAGAATCCATGTTCCCAGCCATGGTCTCCACTGTTTCTCCTATATAATCAATTTTTCTTCTTTATTCACTACCGCCAGCACACAAACATCATTTAAAAAGTCCCTCTCGAACTCATAAACTTCTTCAGCTCCTGGAAAGAATTAGTCTATATTTGAGGTCTACATTACCTCTTTTATAATTCTCTCTTAAACAATCTCCAGCCTCTCCTCCCTACCATGCAATTAAAACAACTCATCAAGGTCACCACTGAACTCTCCATTGCCAAACCCAATGGTCATTTCTCAGTCCTTATCTAATAACACTTTCTATCAGCAGCATTTTGACATACCTCATTGCTCCCTTGCTGGCACGTTCTTTATTTGGTTTCCAGTGTCCCATTTCGCCTGGTTCTTCTCTACTTCACTAGCCCTATGTCTGGTCTCCCCAACCTCTGAACACTGGAGTATACCAGGACTTAACCCCAAGACCTTCTTCTACACTCCCCAACCAATCTCACCCTCACCTGTGACTTCAAATATCATTTACATGCCAATGATTCCCAAATGTTGTATCTCCATTCCAGATCTTGCCCTAATTCCAGTTTCATTTATCCAATTACCATGACTAAAACCAAAATCCTGATTTTGCGCTATCTTTGATATTCATTCCTCATTTCAGTAAATGACAATTTCTTTCTTTCAATCTCTCAGGTCAAGAACCTCGAAATCATCCTTGACTTCTATTTTTCTTTCTTATCCCACATTCATAGTAGCAGCAGATCCTACTGACTCCACCTTCAAACTATGTCCTCAGTCCAATCATTTCTCACCATCTCCAGAACCACATAATCTGAGACACCATTACCTGTAACCTGGATATCAGCAATCACCTCTAACTACTTCAGTACTTTTCACCTGCATTTTAGTCCCATCATCCCAGGCAAAGTAATCTTTTTAGCACATTGGTCAGGTTATGATCCTCCTTCATACAAAACTCATTCAAATGGTAGGAATTATGTTCCTTTTTAGAGTAATCAGACATGGTAACAACTGAGCACAGATATGAAAAGAGGTGAAGAAGCAAACCATGGGGATGTGGAAGGAAAACATTCCAGGCAAAGAAAAAAGCAAATATTAAAAGGATTGGTGCTGGAAAATGTCTGGATGTCCAAGAACAAAAAGCAAGGTCAGTGTTACTGGATCAAACAGGCACAAATACTGATCTGAGGTCACCCAGAAACTCTCTTCTCCACAGGATGAGGTATTCTAAACCTCTGGAGGTCATGTAACTATTTCCCCTAAACTGAGGGTACACTAACATGATGACTATATCTACGTGGAACATGTATTAAGTCATTCCTGGGACTGTTGAGACAGGTTTTTTAAAAGCACCATGGATTAGATGATGTTGGGGAAGGGAAATAAAAAATTCTGTCTGGTTGGACAGAAAATGAAAAATCAAGTTCACTTCATTTATTCTTTAATTTATACAGGCAGCCACAGAGATTTATACAGCGATTTTCTACCTGCTAGTATAAAACAGCAATCTGTGCGTTAAAATGGCCACCTCAAAACTTGAGTTTGTTAGGCTCAATGACTCACATATTTTTTGAAAACACCAACAGAAAGACTGAATGTGGAAATTGGAAAATTAAAAAAGTACTTGTCCATACAAGGTAACAGGAAAGATAATTACATATTTAGCACTTGGACTCATTTGAACTGCTAGTTATTTTAGTCCATGCACTGTATTTTAGCTCTTTTGCCCTATTTTAGTTTGTACGATGTATTTTTATTCTACCAGCTATTTTGGACCAAGCATTGTTCCTAAAATGTTCAGATGATCCCTACTTTGTTCCATCTCAAATGGCGATCCTAGAACTACTAATTTAATTTACATTTATTGGCAGCAGCCTTACTTACAAAACTAAATTTATCATAAAAGACATGTAGATCCTAGGATTAATATAAAATTGAGTTTATCAGTAATGGGCTGACTTATACAACTTAATTCATAATTAAACAAACCTAAGACTGAAAGAAATTTGGTCCACTGGAAATCATAAAAAGTGTTTTATGATCTACAACTTGGAAGCCTAGTATACATTCTTTATTTTGCTATTGAGAGAATAAAGAAAACTTGGCACTTATTTCTAACAGCATTGGAAACTAAAGACTCAAGAATTCAAATGGTTTTCAATTCTGCCACTGATTTTCTTTTGAGGTATAAATTAATCTCTTCCTCTATGAAACTGAGCAAAGGGCAATTTAAAACATAACACAAATCTTGAGTTATAAACACTATATGAGTAGCAAGACACAAGTGAAAAATCCCTTTTGAATTCTACCTCAGTGATTCCTTCCCGTGTTTTTATGCTTTACGTTCCAACAGTTACCCAAGCAATTTACGGTCACTCTGTTGTAACGTCAAAGACTGCTTCAAAAGCAATCTTTCCTGTAAGCTGAAAAGGAGACATTTAGATGTGGCCAAGTGAACAGAATAATTTGATTTTTTTTTGTCAATCCTTGGTCAAATCTTCTCTTGGATAGATGTAGAAAATTATCTGACCTATGACTGTTAAAATGTCAGCCGTTCTGCCAACTGCCTTAATGGCAATTTCCCCAGCACTCGCAGTAAGTATGTGCATCCTTCCTTTTTTCAAGTTATAGTACTTTGGCAAGTAACTTAAACTAACAAGACTCTAAGTTTTGGCAATTTATTAGATCTACGCCTTTCTTCTGGTAACAGCAGCTGTGTCAT